GTTGCCCCCCCCCCCAAGCACCAAGATGACAGAACATCACTTGCCCCAGACATGAGAACGTAAGAGAAGACAAGTTGGATCAGGCCAGTGGCCCATCCGGTCCAACACTCTGTGCCACACAGTGGCCAATACCCAGGCGCCATCAGGAGGTCCACCAGTGGGGCCAGGACTCCAGACGCCCTCCCACTGTTGCCCCCCCAAGCACCAAGAAGACAGAGCATCACTTGCCCCAGACAGAGTGTTCCCTCTATACCTTGTGGCTAAGAGCCCCTGATGGACCTCTGCTCCGCATGTTTATCCAATCCCCTCTTGAAGCTGTCTCTGCTTGTAGCTGCCGCCACTTCCTTCAACAGTGAATTCCACGTGTTAATGATTCTTTGGGTGAAGAAGTCTCCCCAAGTAAGCGACTCCCAGCATTTTTAAAAAACTCACCAGGGACATGGGAGGCAGGCTTCGATCAGGACCACAGTTTGGTGTCGTGGTTAAGTGTGCGGACTCTGATATGGGAGAACCGGGTTTGATTCCCCACTCCTCCACTTGCACCTGCTGATGTGACCTTGGGTCAGTCACAAGCTCTGGCACAGCTGTCCTTGAAAAAGAGCAGTTTGTGTCAGAGATCTCTCAGCTCCACCCACCTCACAGAGGGTGTCTGTTGTGGGGAGGGGAAGGGAAAGGAGTTTGTAAGCCGCTCTGAGACTCCAAGTGGAGGGCGGGGTATAAATCCAATCTCCTCCTCCTCCTCCTCCTCCTCCTCCTCTTCTTACATGGGGAAAGTTGTTTCTTCGTTAACTCTCGTCCCTATGAGCACCTTTCCCAATTAAGCCCGATATGTCCTGGAGTGGAAATGTTCTTCCTTCCCTGGGGGGCTGCCCCAGAAAGTCCGGAGTGCATGAATGCTCCTTCCGTGCGGGTGTCAGGGGCTCACTGACTCTCCTTTTGTGTCGGTTCTAGCCCCTGCAGCCCAACAACAGCAAGCAGCATGAGATGAGGATATCCAAGTCGATGGGCGATATCATGGGGTCCCTGTACAAAGACGCTGAGAGGACGCGGAAGCACTCGACAGGTCAGTGAAAGTCGGGGCGCCGGCCACAGGGAGGTTCCCGTTCTTTTCACAGCCTTCGCAGCCTGAGTGACAGCCGTCGTCTCCTGTCTGAACGCAGGGGGTGCACTTCAGCTTACTTTCTATAATAGCTCCCAGTTTGGTGTAGTCGTTAGAAGCGCGGATTCTAACCTGGGAGAACTGGGTTTGAGTCCCCGCTACTCCACGTGCAGCTGCTGGTGTGACCTTGGGTCAGTCACAAGTTCTCTCAGAGCTGTTCTCTCAAGAGTAGTTCTGGAAAGAGCTCTCTCAGTCCCACCTACCTCACAGGGTGTCTGTTGTGAGGAGAGGAAGGGAAAGGAGATTGTAAGCCGCTCTGAGACTCCTTTGGGGAGTGAAGGGCAGGGTATATAGCCAATCTCCTCCTCCTCTTCTTCTTCTACCAGTGGCCAGTGAACACATCCCTTAAGTCTGACTTACAGGAAATTAAACCAGCGTGTAGTGGTTAAAGTATCGAAACAGGATCTGGGGAACCCAGGTTCGAATCCCCACTCTGCTGTGGAAGCTCACTGGGTGAACTTTAAGCTAGTCGCGTCCTCTGGTCCTAACCTACCTTACAGGGTTGTTGTGAGAATAAAATGGAGGAGAGGAGAATGGGGTAAGCGGCTTTGGGTCCCCGTGGGGGAGAAAGGACGGGTATAAATGAAGTAAAATAAAAATGAATTGTTGACCCAGCTCCTGAGAAGAGACCTGGGGGGGCGGGATCACAGTTAAAACAAAATTTAAAGTTTTTCTCCCTCATGCTGCTGTTGAGTATTCGGCCAGAACTCTGGAGGGCATTTGGAAGGCTCCCTTCGGAAACAAAATGTGCTCGGCCAGCATGTCCTTGAACACAGTTGTAAAAATTTTTTGTTTTGTTTTGGGCTGCCAACCTATTTTCCCGTCCCGGCCGTCCCAATGGAATTTAAGTTAATTTAAGCCTGTTTTTGGCCGAACCATAAGCCTCCTGCCCCCTTGTAGTGTGGGCGGCGCTCAGAACGGAGCTTTGTGAAGGTTGGATGGGACAAAAATTCTGCTTAACAGGCGATAAGTGTTAGCGTCACGTATTAGGGGGGAAAGTAGAAGTGTGTCTGGGAGAGGAGCCCCCAACCTTTTTGAGCCTGCAGACACCTTTGGGATTGTGACACGGCATGGTGGGCGGAGCGACAAGACGGCTGCTGCAAAATGGCTGCCGCAGGAGGCGGAGCCAGCCACAAAATAGTGGCCTCCGTTTACCTTCAGTCACACAGTGAAGATCCTTGTGCCGTGGCGGCAGCCGCTGCCAAAGCAACATTTTTTAAAAGCTGCAGAGGTAATCAAATCACCGATGGCCAATCAGGAGCCTTGCTGGGGAAAGGCCCAATCTGACCCCGCCCACTTTCTGAAAACACTTGGCAGGTGCTAGGAAAGGTGCTGGTGGGTGCAGTTTGGACGTTATGCCTCTGTTGATACACCCCAAAATCCAAATTGAGGGCCCCTTGTTAGGGGGTATGGAAATTGTCAGGGTCGGCCTGGCCACTGCCGTCTTATTAGGCAATACCAGCTTCCAACCATGTGCTTCTGAGACCCCTGAAACAGGCCCGTAGCCAGGATGTTTTAATTCGGGGGGGCTTTAAATAAGTCGGGGGTCACCCCGCACACATTCCCAAGGGAGCGCCACAAATACAATAAAAAATGGAAGTCGGGGTCACCCCGCACACATTCCCAAGGGGGGGCTCGGCAGGAAGTCAGGGGGCCAGGCCCCGTGGGGGCCCGCTGGAGCTACGGGCCTGCCCTGAAAGATTACCCCGTCAGCCCTGCGGCACACTGACATTGTAGCCCAGGGAGTTAAGACACCGAGTCCCACGTTCAAGATGACCAGCACCCCACCGTTAGCAGCCGCCCCCCTTGTGCGGACATCCACCGTCGGCTCACTTGTTGACTTCTGCAGCTGCAAAACCAGACAGCTCTACCTGGCCGTCAGCCACGACGGGTCCCTGGGCTTTCCACGGAGTCCAGCCGCAGCCGCTCGCCTCCGCCCACCTAGCCAGATCTCCGAGGAATCGGGCCCAAACGTGTCATTTCCCCGAGGAGCTGCTTTTTGGACAGGGTTGGAAGCACTAAAAAGAAGGGCGCGTGGGACGGACGGACCGGCAAAGCCCGGGAGGGGACAAAAACAAACTGGTTTGGGAAGGAGCAGAGCCCGGCCGGGTCACGAAAGGGATCTGGCTTTGTGTGTCCGGCCGGCTGCACAGGCTGCCTATGAAAATTCCTTCAAAATAACATAGTGGAAAGGAAAGACGGGAAGGGGTCCAGAGTGTGCCAGTAGGGAATGGCAGGCCTCGGAACATGCTGTGCTTTCTGGTTAACCTGAAAGAGAGGCGCTCCGACCGTGTTCCGCGGCTCACGATCCCCCGGATTCTATAAAAAGCACTGCGCCAATCCGCGTTCGGAGGGCCCCCCGGAAAGAGAGTTTCCAGCCCCGCCTTCTTCCCACCCCCAGGCCGCCCCGCATGTCCCCCTTCCTTTCCCCTGCCCTGCTCTCTCTGTCCGTACGCACCAGTACCCTGCAGCCAGGGTTTCCAACTGCTGGTTGGGAAATTCCTGAAGATTTAAGGGGAGTGTAATGTATTCAAGAGCTGCCATTGAATGCATGTGAATCACATAATTGAAACGTCATGTAAAGCTTCGTCCTGGGCTAGGATCCAAATCCATCCAATCGCAATGCTAGCCCAGGAAGAACCAACCAATCACTTGTCAGCAAGCTCCCTGAGTCCCTGAGCGGGAACGTCGATGATTGGTCCTTGTGTAAACAATCTCATTGGTTGGTAATGTACAGTAAGGCGTGGTTACACGATCAGACGTTGATCCGTGTTGGGAGTTGTGTTCGAGTTGTTGAATAAAGCTGAATCTTTGCTGAATCACTCTCCGACTACTTTGTTAAGCGAGCGACTTAACAGGGAGGGCCCGGGGAAGGTGGTGATTTAGGAGGCGAAGGACCTCCGCAGGGTACAATGCGATTGAGACTACCCTTCAAAGCAGCCCTTTCCTCCAGAGGACCTGTTGATATTTGTTGTTTGTGGATCAGGTGCAACTCTGGGAGATCTTCAGGCTTTGCCTGGACATTAAGAACCCTACCTGTAGCCCTTCCAGGGCAGTGAGCATAGCTGGGAACATGGAGGAGTGCTAGCATAGATTCATGGAGAAGAGATCGATCAGTGGCTACTAGCCATGGTGGCTGAGGGGAACCTCCACATTCAGAGGCACTAAACCTCTGAATCCCAGAGCCAGGAGGCAACATGAGAGGAAGGCCTTGGCCTCCATGCCCTGCTGTTGGCCCTCCAGAGGAACTGGCTGTCCACTGTGTGAGACAGGATGCTGGACTAGATGGACCACTGGTCTGATCCAGCAGGGCTCTTCTTGTATTCTTGTCAGGGGAAGGCCTCGGCCTCCACACCCTGTCGTTGGATGTTCAGAGGAACTGGTTGGCCACCGTGTGAGGCAGGATGCTGGACTAGATGGACCACAGGTCTGATCCAGTGGGACTCTTCATCTTATGATCTTAGCAAAAAAGTCAGTGTGTGGGGGGGTCAACAGCCAGAAGCCCTGGGCCCTGACAGCTGCGTCACCTCAGGATAAGCCGACACTGGCACTGACACCAATTCATTACCACCACCACCACCCCCGCAATCTCCATTTTGAGACCTCCCCCCCCCCCATGTTTTGCCTGCAAACGCTAATCTAGGCCCAGGCGCCGTGTGGAATTGTTCTCTTGGCATCACGGATGGGATTCGTGCTTGTCTCTCGCACTCTTCTCTAAGCAGCTTCTCTCTCTCTCTCTCTGCCTCGCAGGCTCACTGCACACAGGCCGGAGTTCCCCGCCCCCCGGGAGTGTTCCGGAAGAGCAGCAGCAGATCGCCCGCCAGGGCTCCTACACCAGCATCAACAGCGAAGGGGAGTTCATCCCAGAAACGATGGACCCAAACGTAAGCCGCAGGAGCTGAAACCCGCCGACCCGAATGCCGCTTGGGTTTAGTTTAGGGGAGATCGCAGGCGCATGGCCAGGGATGGGGGAGTGAGTAGAATATGCAGCCAGGGATCTATGGAGAGGCCTGACTGGGCGCTTCCAGCCATAAGGAGTGTTCCCTCTAAGCTGAGTCAGTGAGAGCTAGCTCACAGTTTTTTAGCCTCCGGCTCACACATTTGCCTTAGCTGAGGAAGGAGGGCTCCAGAGCAAACTGATTTATGCAGTAGGCAAATCACTCGCTCACAACTTTAATGCCAGTAGCTCACCAAGTTCGGTTTCTGGGATCCTTCATACTTAGGATCTCTCCAGCTTTTTCCGGTGACTGCTTCCGGTGACCCAAGGCAAGGCTGTCTCTGGTGACGCTTAGGACTAATTCAGACATGCACCAAGCAGTGTTCCCTCTAAGCTACGTTAGTGTGGGCTAGCTCACAGTTTTTGAGCCTCCGGCTCACACATTCTTATCTTAGCTCAAGAAGGAGGGCTCCAGAGCAAACTAATTTATGCCGTAGCCAAATCGCTCGCTCACAACTTTAATGCCAGGAGCTCACAAAGTAGTTTAGCTCACAGGACTCCACAGCATAGAGGGAGCATTGGCGCCAACCCTTCTCAGCTGTACCAGCTCATGCCCGAGGTGGACGATTGCACGTTTGAATGTTTCTTGCTCTGGGGGGGGGGGAGCCCTCTGCGCACACAGAAGGCTAGTGTGGTGTTAGGGAATGAAAGCAGTTTTAGATTTGCCGATCCGAGCTAGTTTTTCATATGCAGGGATGTTTGTTTGTTGTTTTAAAGATGGAGGGGAGGAGCCCATCAATCAACTTTAGGTTGCCAAGTCCTATCTTCACCCCCAGCGGGGGACTTTGAGGGGCGTTCCTGGAGGGGGCGGGGCATCCCCGACGTGATTGCCCGCCCACCTGCCCGACAGGGGCGCCAGCTCCCTGCAGTTAAAGGGGCCCCTTTAACTGCAGGGAGCCGGCGTTTCCGTGCGCCCGATCTCTGAGCGGAGATCGGGTGCGTGGCTGGCCTGCAACCACCCCTCCCCCTCTTCTCTCTCAAGAGAGAAGGGAGAGGGTTGGCGGCGGGTGCTGGGGCTTGGGGGCGAGGCTTTCCCCGGCGGGCAGCTGGCTGCCGGTGGGTAAAGATAAAGGTAAAGGTTCCCTTGCTCGAAAGCCAGTCGAGTCCGACTCTAGGGTTGCGGTGCTCATCTCCGTTTCCAAGCCGAAGAGCCAGCGCTGTCCGAAGACGTTTCCGTGGTCATGTGGCCGGCATGACTAAACACCAAGGCGCATGGAATGCTGTTCCCTTCCCACCGAAGTGGTCCCTATTTATCTACTTGCAATGTCTTGCTTTCGAACTGCTAGGTTGGCAAGAGCTGGAACTAGAGACGGGAGCTCACTCCGTCATGCGGCACTCGGGTCTCAAACTGCTGAACTACTGACCTTCCACAGCCCGCAGTTCAGCGTCTTAACCACTTGAGCCACCGTGGTGGGTAGAAGCCCCCAAAAAGCGGGGGACCCCTGCCAAACCGGGGGGATTGGCAACCCTAGGCTTCCTGTGGTTGCATTCGGTAGCGAGAAGGGCTGTATTGTGTGGCCATTCCGTCTCTTTGAATAGGCTTGTAGAGGGCTGATATTGTCTCCGAGGGCTGATATCAGCCAGAGAGGCAGGAATAGCAGGAGTGGATTTGGGAAACAGAAGTGCTCTTCCGGCCTTGCCCATCAATCAATTCTGATTGGCCTAGGGGAAGGCATGACTCAAGCAATGCTCCCTCTAAGTGGTGGAGTTTTGTGAGCAAAAAAAAATCTACTTTGTGAGCTGCTGGCATTAAAGTTGTGAGCGAGCGATTTGGCTACTGCATCAATGAGCTTGCTCTGGAGCCCTCCTTCCTGAGCGAAGGCAAAAATGTGTGAGCCTGAGGCTAAAAAACTGGGAGCTAGCTCACAGTAACTCAGCTTAGAGGGAACACTGGTGGCAAGTGGAAAAACAGTGCCCGAAGGAACCTTTTCTGCACGAAGCTAGAGTCCAGGGGATGGATGTAACAAACGAAGTATGGCTATAACAGCCCGTTTCTCTGCAGAGTCACTACTAGCTAGTTCTGGAGTGGAAACTCCAGGTCAGCATTTCCACAAAGAGGGCGGGGTTCTTTAATTTGCTTTCCTTCTATTTTTTTAAAAAAATTATAACAGTGGAGACAAAAGTCACTCTGGCTGAATTTTGGCAGGGGTCTGAGAACGCAGATGTGCATTGTGCTCCTAGCTGCCAAGACGGGCTTTGATTGTTTCTAATTTGTCATGAGTCCCGTTTATTTATTTTCTCCTCTTTTTTCTGCCGCCTCCCCCCCCCCGCCCCCGGTCAGGTGCTGGAGTCGTTTATCAGTCCGGATGACTCTCTCTCAGGAAGCTGTCAGTCTTTGGACCGATCCATAGACAGGTAGGACTGGAAGACGGCCATATGAAATAAATGGCATTTTTTTTTAAAAAAAACCCTGTTTATATTGTATCTTCCCCTGCACTTCCTCCAAGAATATCGGAGTACCTGGTTGTTTCTTCTTCTTTCCTCCGCCTCCATCCCACTTTATCCTCTCAACAGCCCTGCGAGGTAGTCTAAGCTGCAAGAGAATGTTCGGCCCAAGGTCACCCATGCAGGGGTTTTATGTATTCTTCTTCTAATGTCACCTGTCTTTCAGCCTGGGATCTAAGACAGCTAACAATCAGTCAGTGAAAGCACTATTTAAAATCCATAAAAAGATTTTAAAATGTCAATACAATACAAACTTGATATCCTTTTGTAATTAGTAAAAGGGCTCCCTCTGTGCTGACACGTACTTATTTGAGATCAACATTCCTTGCAAAAGTTTTAATTCCTTAGGCGCTGTTCCACTTACATTCCTTTTTCTAAGCACTCTGTTTCATGTGGTTTGACATTACTTATGTCGAATAACAACAAGCGCGCATAATTCCCTCCTCTCTTGTGATGAGATAAGGGCCTGGGACTTTGATCGTCTTCTCTGGTTACAGATTTCCTAACTTCAGTAGATGTGGGTGGGCAGAGATGGAACCAAGGAGGCAGATGAAGAGAGGAATTAAGTCCCTATTCTGATGAAAACCCATGAGATCGGAAAGCGGTTCGAACTGAAGAGCCGCTTGTCAGCCAGATTGCCATGAGGAGGATAACAGCAGGAGAAAAATATATCTGTTATACCCCAAAACCTCAGCAGTCAGGACAGACCTTTCCTTGTTCCTAAACAGCAGCAGCAAAGGGTTCTGGGAAAAGGTGGAAGGATCTCTTTATGGAAGGAGTTTCTTAAAAAGAAGCAGAAAAATTCCTCTCCCTTATTTAATCTCAGAAAGGTGGGGGTAAACCTAATCTTACCCGAAGGCCCGGTTTGTAGGAAATTCTAATCTGGGTCTTCCCACTAGAAATTCAGTACTTTCTCCAGGTAGTTTCAGGTGGGTAGCTGTGTTGGTCTTCAAGCCTAGTGGCAACTTAGAGACCAAATCTTACTCGTCTCGAAGATGCTTCCGGACTCAAATCCATCAATTATGCGCTACACCTCGTGGCTCTAAAATTAAATCTAGTAATTTCAATAGCAGACGTCTCAACATGCCCGAAAGATGACTTGAGCAGTTAGTCAATATAGCAGCTACGATAAAACCAAAATCAGTCGGTAAATGAGATAAATTTGGCTTTTCCGATTTCTCATTTTCCTCGCTTGTGCGTTCTTGTTGCTTCAGGGTTATTTTCCTGTTCTGCACAGGTTTTGCTCCATCTAGTGGTCGATTCAATATTACAACACTGTATGTCCGGCATGTCTCCCTGCAGAGTTAAACCGCAGGTTTTTATGCTGGGCATAAAGCAATGCGATATTGAATCAACTACTAGAGGGAGCAGATTGCACATGGGACAGGAAATCCCCCTGAAGCAACGGGAATGCAGCAAGCAAGGAAAATGAGATGTGGAAGAGCCCAGTTTCGTGTGGGAGACACCGCTTCGGGCAAGGGCTATCTTAAAAATACAGGGGTTTATACTTTTAAAAAATTTTATATTAAAAAAATACAGGCTGGGGGCATTTCCACGGCACTAAAACAGCATTTCTCTCTCTTCACACAGCCCACCCTTTAACCAAACACCTGTTCCAAGAAGGACGAGCCAAACCAAAGACAGTCTGGATTGCTTAGGTAATCTGCACAATATTGTGGTTATAGGCAAGAGGAGAATCCCCCCCTCCCAAAGCCCCTTGGAAGAGTTTTCAGTGTTGGAACCTTGAATGCTGCAGTTTCATCTCTATTTCACCTCTATTCATACCTGAGGGGACTGCCTTTTCCCATATATACCCCAGAGAGCACTACGGTCGGGGTCTCAAAACCGACTGACCCTCCCAGGCCCCAAGGATGCCAGGCTTGCTACTACCAGGGCCAGGGCCTTCTCAGTGGCAGCTCCATACTGGTACAACGAGCTCCTGGAAGAGATCAGGACCCTGCGGGACCTTTTACAGTTCCGCAGGGCCTGCAAGACGGAGCTCTTCCACCAGGCCTTCAACTAAGGAGCCACCTCACTGCTGCCATCAACAGTCGTAGTATAGATCCTGGCCCTCAATTATAACATCTGGCCTGTGCCGTCACGTGACTTAGGAAGATTACTGAGCTGAAAAACTGCATGTTGTACGTATGTATGCACTTTAGTATGCCATCTTAATTAACTAATGAAATATGCCCAGCACTTTATAGTTCCAGCTCCTGCCAACCTAGCAGTTCGAAAGCAAGAAATTGCAAGTAGATAAATAGGCACCACTTCGGTGGGAAGGGAACAGCGTTCCGTGCGCCTTGGTGTCTAGTCATGCCGGCCACATGACCACGGAAACGTCTTCGGACAGCGCTGGCTCTTCGGCTTGGAAACGGAGATGAGCACCGCAACCCTAGAGTCGGATTCGACTGGCTTTCGAGCAAGGGAACCTTTACCTTTACCTTTACTTTATAGTTTTAGGCAGGGGTCATTTTGTAGAAAAAGAGGTGCAGGAGCTCATTAGCATAACTCATTAGCATACCTTATTTGCATATGCCACACCCCCTGACATCACCAGAAGTGTGTCAGAAGGCAACACCCACCGCTCAGGCTCCACTGGACTTTTTTGGATTGCCAACTATTGGGGGGGGGCACGTGGGTTCTGTCTTTGCAGAGGAGGGAGAGCTTGTACATGAATAAAACGTGGTCTTAAAGGTGCCACTGGGCTGTTTGGGCCCGGGGGGGGGGGCGAGGGGAGCTCTGCAACTTACCCGGCTGCTTCTTGCTCTGACTGAGGGCTGCTGAGAGCAAGGGGTGGGGCTTGTTGGATGTGCCCGCCCCCTGGGCTCTTTACTGCCGGAGCTCCGCTCCTGTGCGCTCCTGCAGGAAATGACCCCTGGTTTTAGGATGTTATGATCTTACTTGTAATTGAACTGCGTATATGATTTTATGTAGATTTTAATGGTCACTTGCGGACCAACCAATGTAAGCCGCTCTGAACCTGTTCACGGGGATGGCAGGGTATAAATTTAACAAAATAAATAAATTAATTAAAATATTTGGCGCTCAGGCAACCTTGCCTGCAGATCTGATGACAAGCATCACTCTTGAAACGCTTACAAGACAGAGTTTGGGCACTGCGGGAAGTCGCACAAGCTGCCCTGGAGGGGGGCAGAGAATAACTTTGGGGGCACAGAGTACCTCAGATGACTGCAAGATCTTACATGGGAATTGCAAGGATTTTTCCTTTGGCCGGAGCTTTTACTGTGAGCGTACATGTGCGGCTTGGTGAAATCATGGAAAATTGCATCATAGTAATAGCTCGATGACCTCAGATATTAAAAAATGAATACATGGCTGGGGGCCCAGAGGAAGAGAAAACATCTTTTGGACCGACGCAGGGCTTCAGAGCCGAGCTGTGGAAGCTGGACTTCCAATGCGGCTGTGTGGATTCTGTGAACGTTTGAGACGTCTCCCTGCCTGCAGCGTTCATGCTGCCTCTTTAAAAGTTACTTATTTATTAATGCAAGATCTTACATGGGAATTGCAAGGATTTTTCCTTTGGCCGGAGCTTTTACTGTGAGCGTACATGTGCGGCTTGGTGAAATCATGGAAAATTGCATCATAGTAATAGCTCGATGACCTCAGATATTAAAAAATGAATACATGGCTGGGGGCCCAGAGGAAGAGAAAACATCTTTTGGACCGACGCAGGGCTTCAGAGCCGAGCTGTGGAAGCCGGACTTCCAGTGCGGCCGTGTGGATTCCGTGAACATTTGAGACGTCTCCCTGCCCGCAGCGTTCATGCTGCCCCTTTAAAAGTTACTTATTTATTAAGAAGATTTATATCCCACCCTTCTAATTAGGGAAGCAGGCCAGATGGCTTACAAGAGAAACATAGCGCAGTCATATCAGATAACTAATAATGAGAGCCGAGTGGATAAACCACCGAGGACATGAAACAAGCCAGAGGGAAGAGCCACAGTCCAAATCCTTCCTGCGGCCTGTCCAAAACCTCCTTGGAACGCTGGAGATCTTAAAAGCTTCATTATAAAAAGAATTAAAACAGCAACATTTATCACATCCTAAAAAGCATATGTTCCCCCCCCCAAAAAAACCCCCAGTCTTCGGGACCACCGCTCCCCATATGAGACCTGCAGGAATTTGCAATCTATTAATCAACATCTCCTGGTGGTTCCTGACCCCAGGGACATCCAACTTGCCTCAACAAGGGCCAGGGCTTTTTCGACCCGGGCCCCTACCTAGTGGAATGAGCTCTCATTAGAAATTGGGGCCTTGTGGGACCTATCATGCAGGGCGTGTAAGATGGAGCTCTTCCACCGGGCTTTTAATTGAGGTGATGAACGCCCACCTGCTAATTGGCCTCCCCTCCAGTGTCCCCTTGGATCCAAATGGCCACCTGGGAACCAACTGCCCCTTGCTGGGATCTGTTGATTGCTGGTTTTAGATTGATTTTTAGATATATTTTAATTATCGATTGCCGTATCATGCATTTTAACCCACCCTGAGCCCGCTTGTGGGGAGGGCAGAATACGAATCAAATCAGATAAAGATAAAATCAAATCAAATTTGCTTAGGAGAGATGGCCAGGACCCAGGTGCCATCAGGAGGTCCAACAGCAGGGCCAGAACTCCAGAAACTCTCCCACTGTTGCCCCCCCCCCAAGCACCAAGAAGACAGAGTGGCACTGCCCCAGACAGAGTGTTACCTCTAAACCCTGTGGCTAAGAGCCACTGGTGGACCTCTGCTCCATATGTTCATCCAATCCCCTCTTGAAGATGTCTATAAGAACATAAGAGACGCTGAACTATCCTTACTGCATCATTCCCTGGCGGTTTTCCCCTCGTTCGTGTCTCTGCGATGCAGCCAAGCCACTTCAGTTTGTGACTAATCCTGCATTCGCGTTTCATCTGCTCCAAAATATTTATCCGCTTTGTTTTACGGCCCGCTTTCCTTGCTGAGCAGATTGCAGGATCTAAAGCGCAGTGCAATGGAAACAAGTAGAAAACATCAACAGTGCAATGGGGTTGGGTTTCAAGAGGAGACGATGACAGTAGTTTATGACAATTTATGATGCAGCGCAGAAGGTGGATTGCAGGAATTAGAACATTTTGGAGGATTGCCATGGAGGTTCGCCGCTGAACAGTTGGATTTGTGTTGAGTAGATATCTGAGAAAGAGAGATTTGACTCCCAAAAGCTTATCTTTGTTGGTCTCAACATGCTACCGGCCTCAGATCAAGATGCTAGAAAACAATGCAGTAAGATGAAAGTTTTCTGTGTTGTGATGCTAATACATAAATTTCTTTTTCTCTTTCATCTTCCCAGATTTCGACATCCCATTCTGTGACAGATACGGGAAGGGAGGGACCTTCCCAAGGCAGTATCACCTCTCCCAGAGTCGCAAGGACTACAGCGACGGTAAGACTTTGAGGCCCAGTGGTTAAAGCACGCCGAGGAGCTTGTTTGTATGTGAGACTAAAGATGACGTAATAGAACTGGACTCGCAGCAACAGCACAAAGTTTGAGTCCAGTGGTACCTTTAAGACCAACATAAGCTTTCGTGCGCATGCGCACTTCGTCAGATCGATTCAGGTGAGTGTTGGCCTGCAGCAACAGCACAAAGTTTGAGTCCAGTGGTACCTTTAAGACCAACATAAGCTTTCGTGCGCATGCGCACTTCGTCAGATCGATTCAGGTGAGTGTTGGCCTGAAGCAACAGCACAAAGTTTGAGTCCAGTGGTACCTTTAAGACCAACATAAGCTTTCGTGCGCATGTGCACTTCTTCAGATCGATTCAAGTGAGTGTTGGTCTGAAGCAACAGCACAAAGTTTGAGTCCAGTGGTACCTTTAAGACCAACATAAGCTTTCGTGCGCATGCGCACTTCGTCAGATCGATTCAGGTGAGTGTTGGCCTGCAGCAACAGCACAAAGTTTGAGTCCAGTGGTACCTTTAAGACCAACATAAGCTTTCGTGCGCATGCGCACTTCTTCAGATACATATGTAATGGTTGAGGAAGTCTTGTCTCAACGTATCTGAGGGAGTGTGCATGGGCATGAACGCTTATACCCAGACTTACACTTTGTTGGTCTTAAAGGTGCCCCAGGACTCAAACTTTGTTCCGAGGGTAGCCATATTGGTCTGCTGGAGGACAGCTAGATTCGAATCGAGTCCAGTAACACCTTAGAGGCCAATAAGATTTGGGGGGGGTATGACGTTTCGAGAGCCAAAGCACCCTTTGTCAGGGACCCTTTGGTGGTGGCATCTGATAAAGGGAGTGTTGACTCTCGAAAGCTCATCCCCTCCAAAACCTTGCTGGTTTCTAAGGTGCAAGCTGACGTGAATCTAGCTGGTCTAGCAAATTGGTTCTCAAATGGCGGGGTTCTCCTCTCCTGTGAAGTGCATATCGGGACCTCTTGCAGTTTTTCTTGAGGCCAGTTTGGCTGGAGATCCTGGAGGTTTTTTGTCATCTTCTGGGCATTGTGTAGGGGGGTCGGACTAGATGACCCTGGAATCGTAGAATCACAGGATCATAGAGTTGGAAGGGACCTCCGGGGTCATCTAGTCCAACCCCCTGCACAATGCAGGAGATTCACAAATACCTCCCGCCCCACACCCCCAGTGACCCCTGTTCCACACCCAGAAGTCCCTTCTAGCTCTATGGCTCTGTGATAAGCCAGGATCCACCCAAGAGATGCGTGTATTTAGGAAAGAACCGTGTGCCCACAAAAGCCCCTAGGCAAAGCTTAGCCAAAGCCACAGGAAGTGGTGGCAGCTACAAGCATGGACGGCTTCAAAAGGGAATTAGATCGGCATATGGAGCAGAGGTCCATCAGTGGCTATTAGCCACAAGGTATAGATAGGGACTCTGGGGCGAGTGATGCTCTGTCATCTTGGTGCTTGGGGGGGGGGGTCAACAGTGGGAGGGCTTCTAATGTCCTGGCCCCACTGGTGGATCTCCTGAGGGCACCTTGTAATTTTGGCCACTGTGTGACACAGAGTGTTGGACTGGATGGGCCTTTGGCCTGATCCAACATTGGCATCTCTTATGGTCTTAAGAGCAAAGGTCCTTCAGTGGCTATTAGCCACAAGGTGTAGGTAGGAACCCTCAGTCTGGGGCAAGGGATGCTCTGTCTTCTTGGTGCTGGGGGGGGGGCAACCGTGGGAGGGCTTCTAGTGTCCTGGCCCCACTGGTGGACCTCCTGATGGCCCCTGGTATTGTTGGCCACTGTGTGACACAGAATGTTGGACTGGATGGGCCTTTGGCCTGATCCAACATTGGCATCTCCTATGTTGTTATAAGAGGGAATTAGATAAGCATATGGAGCAGAGGTCCATCAATGGCTATTAGCCCCACAAGGTATAGATAGGGGCTCTGGGGCAAGTGATGCTCTGTCTTCTTGGTGCTTGGGGGGGGTCTTCTTGGTGCTTGGGCTGGATGGGCCTTTGGCCTGATCCAACATTGGCGTCTCTTATGTTCTTATGTTCTTAAAGCTTAGCTGGTACATATCATGATCTTCTCTGTTACGTATCTATGGGCCAGCCTTGCTTTGACTCACAGCATTGTTCCAGGGTGAAGCAGATGGGAGCTGTAGACAGCAGAACCTCTTAGCCCATCTGGTTTCACTCTCAGCCTAGCTCAGTCTTCCCCAACCCGAATGGCTCAGGCTAGCCCGATCTCATCAGATCTCAGAAGCTAAGCAGGGTCGGCCCCGGTGATTACTTGGATGAGAGACCACTAAGGAAGGCAAGCGTCCCCATGCAGACATATGGTGTCCGGATCACGCAACGTGATGGTATCGCTTTACTCTGCTCCGGTTCGACCTCGCCTAGAGTAGTGTGTTCAGTTTTGGGCATCACAATTTAAGGAGGATGTAGATAAGCTGGGACGTGTCCAGAGGAGGGCAGCGAAGATGGGGAGGGGTCTGGAGACCAAGTCCTATGAGGAAAGGCTGAAGGAGCTGGGTAGGTTTAGCCTGGAGAAGAGACGACTGAGGGGGGATATGATAACCATCTTCAAGTACTTGAAGGGCTGTCCTCTAGAGGATGGGGCAGAGTTGTTTTCTGTTGCCCCAGAAGGTCGGAACAAAACCAGTGAGCTGAAATTAAAGCCAAAGAGTTTTCGGCTAAACTTCCTGACAGTCAGAGCGGTCTTTTTGAAGAGACTTCCCCGGGAGGTGGTGGGCTCTCCTTCTTGGGAGGTGTTCAAACAGAGGATAGATGGCCACCTGACAGCAATGCGGATTCTGCGAACTTAGGTAGATCATAAGAGGGAGGGCAGGAAGGGTTGCCTCAGTGCTTAGTTCTCGTGGCCCTTTCTGACACGCCCGGGGAAATGCCAGCCACCACTTTGGGGGTCAGGAAGCCATTTTACTCCAGGCCAGTTTGGCCGGAGATCCTGGAGATTTTTTTTTGTCATCTTCTGGGCATGGAGCAGGGGTCACTGGGGGTGTGGAGTGGGAGGTATTTGTGAATTTCCTGCATTGTGCAGGGGGTTGGACTAGATGACCCTTGGAGGTACCTTCCCACACTATGATTCTAAGCGGCCAAAGGCAAACCGCCTCTGAATCTCACGCCTTGAAATCCCCATGAGGGGTCTAGTAGGCTCTGACTGGCCTCCGCTCTTCAAGGCGTCCGCCAACGAGACCTCAAATTGCCTCCAGGGCTCCTTTAAGCGGAGGCAGCGGGGATAGAGCCTGCAACCTCCGGCTTGCGAAGCGAGGGCCGTACCACCGAGCCGCCTCTGATTCTTCCCTCTCATCCCTCCGTTGCTCCCAAAGGCCGAAGGACCTTTCCCAGAAGTTACGCTCCCCCGGAGAATCTTTTCCAGCTGGTGCCGTCCAGCCGGACAAAGAGCTTCAACGGAGACAACAAGCTCATCACCTTGCGCTACGAGGACCGCGGGGGCACCAAGTGGTGGCACAGCTGCGACAAGATCTTCCAAGGCTTTGGCTCGTCTCCTGCCAAGACGAGGAGCAGTAAGTTGCCTCCCAGTGGATTGCTGGTAATCAGGGACTAGTTCAGTCTAGTTACCGGGGTAGGATAAAGAACACTCTGTCTGGGGCAAGTGATGCTGTGCGCTCTTGGTGCTTGGGGGGGCAGCAGTGGGAGGGCTTCTGGACTTCTGACCCCGCTAGTGGACCTCCTAGTGGACCTTGGTCACTGTGTGACACAGAGTGTTGGACTGGCAGGCACATACTTACAGTGGGGCTTTGGGGGGCTCTGCCCCCTTTCTTAAAGGCACAGCCCCACAAGAATTTCTCCTGTAAATGCTTTTAAAAATCATTTTTAAACATTTTTTAAAGGTGTTCACTCTTTTAAGCAGAGTGGAGTGCTGTGGTTGACTCATTCCTGCACTGAGCCAAGGGGGTTGGATTAGGTGACCTCTAGAATCCCTTCTGTGTCAAGAAACTGGTCTCCTTTAAGAGAGTTTTCCCACCTAAGTGTTAGCTTTCTGGACTATAGGAGTCATCACTCCCACCTGCTGGCTTGTGGTCAGAATTGTTGCATAGGCTGGCAGAAGTGATTAACTTGCAGCAGCTGAGAACTGTCATCTAAAGTGGCCGGCAGCTTGCCATTTAGAGATCTATCCTGGTCACAGCTTTCTGTTGGCTAAATGGCTTTTCTTTCTGCACTGAGAACTTCAGCCCCACCAGGAAAAAAAAAATTGCCCCACAAGCCACAGAATCCAGTCTACGGGCCTGTGGACTGGGTGGGCCGTTGGCCTGATCCAACATGGCTTCTCTTGTGGTCTTAATAAGTTCTACAAGTCCCCAGTCCACATCTTGCTTCTGTATTACCGAATGTCCCATTCCGTTGATTGGATTGACTCAGTCTGTGTAATCTGCCTTGCGTCCCTGTCAGCAAGGCGGACTACAAACAACATCAGTCAGTATCTTAACACATGGCCTTAGCCAAGTCACACAGCCTCAGTCCCCTCTCTGCAATAGGAGGAGGAGGAGGAGGAGGATACTAGCCTACTTCTGTAGGGTTGTTGTAAAGATCGCAACCCAGAAAGTGTGTGTGAAGCTTCCTGGCTGCTAAATATGCTGAATATGCCCGTGAAGACGCTCCCTGGACTTGTGAAACCGTGGCCAGCCAGAGAGCTTTCTAAACCTCATAATCTCTGGAAATGCGGGGTAAGGATTGAGCACCTGGCATTCCACAGCTCTGTTGGGCTCAAAGGCTTGTGCAGCCCCCTTGTAGAGCCTTAAAGTGGTACGTGCACATGGGAGTCTAATGTGGTTTTGTGGGACCTGGACTTCATATGTTGTGTTGGCAGCTAAACGTCTTGGATGCCAACAGGGATCTTGGAAGGAGTGAGTCGCAGGGGGGTGACCAATTCCCAGTTAGAGTAAGAGGCTTTTAAGAGGAGTTTAACGGCCGAGGGCTGTCAGAGAGCCACTGTTCTGCTGAGTACTAACGCTCATGAGATATCAATCCATCTTAAGGTAGGGGTCAAGACGGGACGGCCGTTTGGAGGACCTTTGTCTTCTCGTAACACGATTTCTGTCTTCTCGCTTAGCGCTGCAGGCCCCGGTGAATTGGCGGCTGGGAAAGCTGCTGGGCCGGGGGGCCTTTGGAGAGGTCTATCTTTGCTACGACGTCGACACTGGCCGGGAGCTTTCGGTGAAGCAGGTGCCCTTTGACCCCGACAGCCAAGAGACAAGCAAAGTGAGTACAAGCAGCCAGGACAAAATGGCGCCACTCTGAAGCTCACAGAGTGGAAACGCGCTCACCGTAAAAACAGCATTTGCAAGGTGGTTTTTAAACATTCACATCACTTTGAGTTAGGCCTCCCACCGACTGCCCGCTTCCGCAACGAATGGCAGCAGGAGAAAAATAAATGTGCTGGTACGTCACTTCCTGTTACAACCCGGAAGTGATAATAGGTAGCTCTAGGTTCCCGCACTGAGCCAAGGGGGTTGGAGTATGTGTCCTCTAGAATCCCTTCTGTGTCAAGAAACTGGTCTCCTTTAAGAGAGTTTTCCCACCTTAGTGTTAGCTTTCTGGACTATAGGAGTCATCACTCCCACCTGCTGGCTTGTGGTCAGAATTGTTGCATAGGCTGGCAGAAGTGATTAACTTGCAGCAGCTGAGAACTGTCATCTAAAGTGGCCGGCAGCTTGCCATTTAGAGATCTATCCTGGTCACAGCTTTCTGTTGGCTAAATGGCTTTTCTTTCTGCACTGAGAACTTCAGCCCCACCAGGAAAAAAACAATTGCCCCACAAGCCACAAAATCCAGTCTACGGGCCTGTGGACCAGATGGGCCGTTGCCCTGATCCAACATGGCTTCTCTTGTGGTCTTAATGAGAATGATCTAAGTTCTGCAAGTCCCCAGTCCAAACCTTGCTTCTGTATTACTGAATGTCCCATTCCGTTGATTGGATTGACTCAGTCTGTGTAATCTGCCTTGCGTCCCTGTCAGAAAGGCGGACTAGAAACAACATCAGTCAGTATCTTAACACATGGCCTTAGCCAAGTCACACAGCCTCAGTCCCCTCTCTGCAATAGGAGGAGGAGGAGGATACTAGCCTACTTCTGTAGGGTTGTTGTAAAGATCGCAACCCAGAAAGTGTGTGTGAAGCTTCCTGGCTGCTAAATATGCTGAATATGCCCGTGAAGACGCTCCCTGGACTTGTGAAACCGTGGCCAGCCAGAGAGCTTTCTAAACCTCATAATCTCTGGAAATGCGGGGTAAGGATTGAGCACCTGGCATTCCACAGCTCTGTTGGGCTCAAAGGCTTGTGCAGCCCCCCTTGTAGAGCCTTAAAGGGGTACGTGCACATGGGAGTCTAATGTGGTTTTGTGGGACCTGGACTTCATATGTTGTGTTGGCAGCTAAACGTCTTGGATGCCAACAGGGATCTTGGAAGGGGTGAGTCGCAGGGGGCTGACCAATTCCCAGTTAGAGTAAGAGGCTTTTAAGAGGAGTTTAGCGGCCGAGGGCTGTCAGAGAGCCGCTGTTCTGCTGAGTGCTAACGCTCATGAGATATCAATCCGTCTTAAGGTGGGGGTCGAGACGGGACGGCCGTTTGGAGGACCTTTGTCTTCTCGTAACACGATTTCTGTCTTCTCGCTTAGCGCTGCAGGCCCCGGTGAATTGGCGGCTGGGAAAGCTGCTGGGCCGGGGGGCCTTTGGAGAGGTCTATCTTTGCTACGACGTCGACACTGGCCGGGAGCTTTCGGTGAAGCAGGTGCCCTTTGACCCCGACAGCCAAGAGACAAGCAAAGTGAGTACAAGCAGCCAGGACAAAATGGCGCCACTCTGAAGCTCACAGAGTGGAAACGCGCTCACCGTAAAAACAGCATTTGCAAGGTGGTTTTTAAACATTCACATCACTTTGAGTTAGGCCTCCCACCGACTGCCCGCTTCCGCAACGAATGGCAGCAGGAGAAAAATAAATGTGCTGGCACGTCACTTCCTGTTACAACCCAGAAGTGCTAATAGGTAGCTCTAGGAATTGCCAGAAACTGTATGATAAAACCATAGAGTTTTACCATAGAGTTGCCTACAGTTCCTAGAGCTACATTATACCTAGAAGTGACATTGTGACATCAGCAACATTGCCAATGTCATTCTCTCCCCCCCCCATGTCACGGACCCTCCCCTCCTTTGAGTATATTGTCTGTTTCTGGATTGGTTCAAACCCTGAGTTTAGTATATTGTTTTCTTATCATGCGGAAGGTGCTTGAAATGGTCTCCTAGGGTAAGACCATTTGGGCAGTTAATTGGTGCTACATCTATTTAGGACAGTTTTCGTCCAGGCAGCATACATCATTCTTTCTTCCCCATTTTGTCCTCACAACAGTCCTCTGAGCATAGGTTAAAAGGTAAAGGTAAAGGTTTCCCTTGCTCGAAAGCCAGTTGAAACCAACTCTAGGGTTGCGGTGCTCATCTCTGTTTCAAAGCTGAAGAGCCAGCGCTGTCCGAAGACGTTTCCGTGGTCATGTGGCCGGCATGACTAAACACCAAGGCGCACGGAACGCTGTTCCCTTCCCACCGAAGTGGTACCTATTTATCTACTTGCAATTTCTTGCTTTCGAACTGCTAGGTTGGCAGGAGCTGGAACTAGAGATGGGAGCTCACTCCGTCATGCGGCAACTCGAACTGCTGAACTACTGACCTTTCACAGCCTGCAGTTTAGCGTCTTAACCACTTGAGCCACCGCAGCTCCTGAGCATAGGTTAGGCTGAGGCAAAGTGACAGGCCCAGGATCACCCAGTGAGCTTCCTGGATAAATGGGGATTCGAACCCAGCGCCCCCCCCAGATCCTAGTTCCCTACTTGACTTCTCACATCACAGTGAGAAATACTTTTTTGAGAATAAACAGGTTAAGAACTGAAAAACGCTTTGACTACTCAAAAGTCCCCTCCGTGTCGTAGAAACTGTTCCGATTCCCACAACTTTGGGATTCAGGCAGGAAGTGGCGTGGCTAGGTGTATGGTTGCTTAGCAACCTCTGTTGTGATCCGTTCTCCCGTTTCCTGGAGGAGGCCTCAGGGAGGGAGGGAGCTGGCCGGAGGCTGAAGTGGGGGACGGTGAGCAGAGGAAGGAAAGACAAGCATGGAAGCAAAAGAGAATGGCTTTGCGCTTTACCTTTCAAATCGGGGCCAGACTCGATGGACCCTTCAGACAGAGATGCTCTTCCGCTCATGCGCCTTTTGGGGTCCTCGGCTTCTCACAGGCAGATTTTGTTGGCAACGTGGAAGGCACCCAGTGCTCGGTTTCCATTGAGTGACTTGCACTCAATGCCACAGGAAGTGGCGGCGGCTACAAGCATGGACGGCTTCAAGAGGGAATTAGATGAGCATATGGAGCAGAGGTCCATCGGTGGCTATTAGCCACGCCTTTTGGGGTCCTCGGCTTCTCACAGGCAGATTTTGTTGGCAACGTGGAAGGCACCCAGTGCTCGGTTTCCATTGAGTGACTTGCACCCTGAAAATGGCTGTCGGCTCCTTTTTGGCAATGAAGCAGAAAGCTTCATTCCTCTGCGTGTATAAGCTAACTGTATGCGGTGCAGAGAGAGATCTGAATTGGGACAAAAGGATCCTGCAAATCGCTCCTTATGTTTCCGAGCTCTGACCCCCAGGTAGTGGCTTCTCCGGTCCTCACTGAGCTGTGGTTGGGGGGGGGGGGCGCCT